TGGGAGCATAAGGCATCTGCTCTTGCCCTGACCAGGGGAGCGGGGACCTGCTGTCAACCTGGGGGCAGGAGAAGGCTGGGTCTTCACTGTAGACTGAGGGCGGTGCTGGCAGGCCCTGCCCCACCCACCTGCTGTTGGCCTGACCTCTACAGCAGATGATGCCGGGAAGCCAGGGCCTGAAGGTGAAACTTCTTGGGGCCCCGCTGAACCCCTCTCACTCTACTGCCCCGAGCTGACCCCATGTGAGGACGCCACAGGAAAGTGGGCGATGGACACAGAGTCGTGGGTCACAGCTATAGAAATAGCCATTTACTGAACAGAATGGCTTCCTCAGGCCTGGCCACTGCCCAGCCCGTGAGGCTCAGGGTGTGCAGGTCACACCTTGGCAGAGATGTGGGGGCCAGTGGGTCTGTCAGGTATCATACTCTTGCCTGCACCTGAGTGCCCACCCGCTCAGGGCAGGGGGTGGGGCCCTGAGGGCAGCTCTGACCACCTGGTGCCACTTCCAGAGGGTCTTGCAGTCTTGGGTATACACAGGTTACTTCACATTGGAGTTGGGGCACATGGGTGTGGTGGGAGAGCTGAAAGGAAAGCTACAGCCCAGACACCACCCACAAACGACTGCCCCCGACCTGAGGGCCCTGGGAGGCCATAGCTCTGGTGAGTGGAGGCAGTGCCTGGTGCTGGCCCAGGGAGCCTGGGGCATAGCTAGAAGGGAGGAGGCCGGAAGTTGAGTCTGGCAGTGGTAGTGACAGGTGGGGTCCACCGCAGGGCTCTAGGCTGGGCGATAGAAGAAGTTGCCTGTGCAGAGTCTCCGTGTAAGCTCCTGCCACAGCAGCTGCCGCTCCCGCTGGGCACCCTTCATGATGCCACTGTTCTCCTGGGCACGGCGGGACAGGTAGGGCAGCACCTCCATCACTGGGCCATAGGGCATGTACTTGTACACAGGGAAGCCCGCCTGGCCTGCACACGCACAGGAAGGTATGGTGAGTCCAGGTCCCTCTGAGTGTGCTGCCACCCCATCCCACCACCCTACCACCCAGGGAGGGCCTTGCTCACCCAACGGGAAGCTGATCTGGTCGCACATGCCCAGCAGCTGTCCAAAGTACACCTGGTGTTCAGCAGGATGCAGGCCCAACTCCTCCATCCTGTGAGCAGGTGAGGCCAGGTGCTTAGAGGCCAGTAGGTAATGAGGAGACCAGGGCAGCCCCAGGACACCGCCCACTGGGGTGGATAACAGGGCTCTTTGTCCTAGCCCTGATTCCCTCCTACCACCCTACAGACACCCCCATCTACACACTCCAGCCCTCCCCTGAGGGTGGGGACCAGGGATGTAGGCTTTGCCCTTCCTGGCAGGACACCCTCTGGATGCCCCCTCCCTCCTAGGCAGTTTCTCCCTGAGGGAAGCCTGTGTCAGCTGGAGCTGGATTCTGATGGATGGGACAGCTGAGGGGTATGGCCCGTGGACAGCAAGAGTCCCTCCTCCCCCAGCCTGTCCCCCTCCCAGCACTGCCTCCCTCACACCTCCTCTACCTCCCTCCTCAGGTGCTAGATGACCTCCAGGGACCGGGAGGCAGACTCATCCAGCCACCTGCCCCAGGGTCTTTGACCCCCCTCACCAGGGAGTCTCCTCAGCCTCCATTGGCCACCCATTCAACCCATCACCATGCTCCCCCTGCTCACGCCCCTCTAGGGTTCTGCTTGGCCTCCCCTTTGCCAATTACCCCTCCACCCATCCTCCAAAGCTAAGCATTGCCGACTGAGGCTGCTGGGCACCACAGCTGCTCTGAACTGAGATGTGTTGCAGGCGCAAGCACACACCAGGTTCAAGGGCTTAGCATGAAAGGGAGGGCAGCACGGCTCACTACTTTTTTAAGATACACGGTGAAATGATACTATTTTGGATGTACTGGGTTAAGTAAAATGTATTATTGGAATTTCATCTTTTTTAATGTGGCTACTAGGAAATTTAAAATTACTAATGTGGCTCATACTATATTTCCACTGGAGAGTGCTGCTTATATTTTGGGGTGTAGACCCCCAGCTCTGCCTGGCACCCTTCCATTTTCACACTTCCCCTTGTAGGAGCTTACAAAAATTCCCAGGTGTGAAATACCTATATATTGATAGCCTACATATTAATCTCCAGTTTTCTATATCCATGTATCCAAACTCAGCATATCTGTACAGGACTCTGGAGCCCAGCCTTCCACCCCCAACCCAGGGGCATGTTTAGCGTGGGTCCTCCTCTCCTCACCCCTACCCAGGCTATCCCTCACTCACCTCCGATACCCACCTCCCTGTCCTCATCCCTTTCTCAGGGCCCCTCCGGCCCCACCTCAGCATACTCGGAGTACTAAGCATTGTCCCCCTGGACTTCTATTAGGGGTACCCCACAGGCCCTTTCCCTCCTTCCCTCAGGGCTAGGCTCCAATGCCAGGGCCGCTCAGGCTAAAGAGGCCCTGGTCTCATTCCCAGTGAACCCCATGAGAGCTGCTGCTGTCTTGGCTGAATGAGTCTCAGACTGTGGTAGGTGTGTGGTAGCCTGCACAGATGACTGCTAATTCCCTCCCCTGCCAATGTCCGTACCCCTCTGCCACGTGACTGCGGCTCATCGAATTGCAGAGTGAGTCTCTCTACAGGTTATCTGGGCTTGGCCTTGTGACTTCCTTTGGCCAAGAGGACAACAGCAAACGTGCGAGCAGAAGCTTGCCCTCTCCCAGTGCTTCTGGCACTTTGACCACCTGTGATGAAGCCCGGGCTGGCCCGCTAGAGGCTGGGCACAAGGTGCAGTTGCCTTTGTTGCCCCAGCCATGATGAGTAAGCCGTCTAGGACCAACCAGAGCCCACGTGACCCACCCTGCAGATGCAGGAAGGACCCCAGGCAAGGCCAGTGGAAGTCGAAACCAGCTGAGCCCAGCCCACACTGCAACACACACAATACATTGTTCAACCCCCTAAATTTTGTGTTGGTTTGTTACTGATCCTTGGATGCGCTGTGTGGCAGCCTGAACTGGGCAGAGGACAGAGCAGTCACCACCATCAGAGACCCAGAAGGATGTCCCAAGGGGAGATGGGCCCAAGCTGCTCGAAGGCTGTACAACCACCCAGAGCGGGGAGCACCACGGCTTGCTGGGCCCACCCTTCTCAGAAGCATGGCTCCGATTAACAGTGTTTATGAAGGGCCGCCCTGAGGGGTCAGATGTTGGGCCTGGTGCAGGCCTGGGAGGCTAAGAATACAGTAAGTTCAGCTGCCACTCAGGGAAATGAGGTACTGCATCAGGGGAAGGAGGCCGGCGCAGTGGCCAAGACAATGGGGACATCTCAATGGGAAGATTCAGAAATCAGGAGTTAGGACTTTTAAAAGTTTGTTATGGATGTTAAAGAGGAAAATTAACACACATCTTACTATGATTTTAGGTTTTCCTTATCCATGAAACAAAATATTAACCATAAAAAGCTTGACCCAAACTGCAAAAGCCTGCAAGAGAATGTAAATTTGTCTTTTCCTGCTAGCAAAGGATAGTTAACAAAACCATTACTGCCTGATTTAATGAAAAAGACTCTAGGCTCTCCTAATTTAAATATCAAAAAGTCTCATGGCTATAGGTGTATGGAGGGCCAAATTATTAGCAGCCTGGCCAGAAGTAACCTGATATCAGTTGATCTCTGTAAAGGGGGTAGGGCAGGATTCAACCAATCATGTTAAGATTAGCCAACGGTTGATGTTCTATTCTCTCCCCTCTTCTTATTATTGGAAACCCTGGTGGCATAGTGGTTAAGTGCTATGGCTGCTAACCAAAAGGTTCGAATCCACTAGGTGCTCTTGGGAAACTATAGGGCAGTTCTGCCCTGTCCTATAGGGTCACTATAAGTCGGAATTGACTCGATAGCAATGGGTTTGGTTTGTTTTTGTTTTTTCTCATTATAAGCTTCACTGCAAACTTCAAGCCATTTGCTTTTTTCTGCAGTCAGAATGGTCTCCCTATATGCATACAGAATAACTGCTCAGAATAAACCACGTTTTAATTTTTTTGAGTTTTGATTATTTTTAACATGGGATTGGAGTGAAAGGCAATGAAACAGATAGGGTTAACTGTGCTGGCGGAATAAAAGAGCTGTTAAAAGATTGCCACCTAGAAGCTGGGTAAACAGGAACCACATCATGCCAACATAAAACAACCCATGAATTACTACATCCTCCTTAGTGTTTTTCTAGTCCCTTCCCCCTTCTTACAGGCTCCACATGCACAGAAGAACAGAGTGTGATTGCTGTTTTGGCCCACCAAAGGAGGCAAAGCAGTGCAGAAGATCAGTGCGCCTGCACCATATCCCTTTATAAGTGATGCCAAGGGCTGCTGAGGGGACTCCATCTTGAATATCAGCAGGTTCCATCTTGGATTCCAGATGCATGTGCAACCTAATTAGTATACACTGCCATTCTGAGAAGTACCCACCCCTTCAAAGAAACCCACTGAATATTCATTGCTCTGTTATCTCCACCAAACCCATATAAGCCCTAGCCTTGCTTCCCCCTTCAAGTCAGTCTTTTGGAGAGGCATGAGCCCTGACTGACTGCTTTTACTTGTCGCAAGTAAAATAAACCTGTTAGAGCTGAGCTGTATTCTTACAAGTGAAAGACAAGGACCCACTGAGTCCGGAGGGCCTCCATGCCCTTGGCAGTAAGTTTGGCACCCCAGGTGGGACTGATTTAGTCCCGGGTTCAAGGACACGAGTGGACTCAGCCCACAGAATCCAGACCCTTGAAAAGGCAAGTGGCCACCTGGACCTCCTTGTTTGGTGCCTCTTCGAAGTGGTGAGTTTTCCTTGGGCTCGACTCTTGACTTGCGCCCCACTCTGTCAGGTTTAGATTTCTCTTCCCTTTGAGCTCCCAATTTTTACTTCCTAGTCTTCACCCTTTGTCTATAACACTTTTCCTTAAAGCACTTGGGTTTGTGGAAGGGATTGAAGACAATAGATCTCTTCCTAGAGAAGAGTGAAAACCTCACCCCGCCAGGTCTGATCAGCCTGGAAGCCTTTGGGCCAGTAAGGTTAGGATGGTGAAAGGTTCAAGTCCTCAAGAAACATCTGAAGGTGGGTGGTGAGGGGTTCGAGTCCCCAAGAAACACCCGAATTTTTGAGACCCCAAGATATATCCTCTGGGCCCAATTTGGCCACCTACGGGAACAGTGTGAACCTTTCCCTAGGCCTGGGCAGATGGTGAGAGGTTCAAGTCCTCAAGAAATATCTGAAGGCGGGTGGTGAGAGGTTCGAGTCCTCAAGAAATACCCAAATTTTGTTCTAATGCGTCTGCTTAGGCGCCATCTTTGGTGCCATCTTTCCTTTTCTCCTCCTGCCTCTGCTTAGGTGCCATATTTGGAGTCATCTTTCCTTTTCCTGCCTCTGCTTAGGCGCCATCTGGTGGCAACTAAAGTTAACGCCGAATGAAGTTTGCCATCTCTAAAGTTTCATCCACCGAAGAACTCGACAAGTGGTGGGAAGACTGTAGTAGGTGCCTGGGGTCCTTACTTTATAGGTGGGTCAGTGACCACCTCACCCATCGCCCACTAGAGAACTGCCACCCCTATGTAAGCTGGCCTCTCCCTCTTCTCGCTCTTCTTTTTCACACTGTACTGTGGTGTACAGAAGCCACTTGGTCGGGACAGAACCAGCCCTGTGTCCCTGACCTTCAAGACTTAGCTCTGGAAGGGCTTGTAATAACCTTTGACAGGACCTATATAGAAGCTGAATATCAGGCTGATTGGGAAAACAACCTCATCACAGCCCAAAATCAGCATGCCCACCCTTCCCCTGGGCTGATTATTATAGGAGATAAGAAGTGTAGGCTCAGGAAGAAATGGGGTGGGGGGGGATATCCCTTACGTTGAGGCCTTTATGTCTCTGTATCAAGACCCCCAGCTTGGAGACAAGTGTCAGGTTTGTGTTTTGACAATTCAGCCATGTCCCCTTGCCCCAGCACCTGAATCAGATTTATTGACTGACCCACTATTTCAACCTCCTCCTCGCCCGACTGCACCCCATTCGCTGAGAATTTGGAAGCTCGAGGTGACCAAACCCACCCTGGAATAGGAAAACCAGACCCTCCTCCATATAACTCACCAAGACTGCCTACTCCTCTTGAGACTAA